ATATAGACAGACAGACAGAGATAGATGGATAGAGATAGATAGATATAAATAGATATATAGACATAGATAGATATAGATTGATAGATATAGACAGACAGAGGTGGTGTGGAGTGGTGAAGGCTGCAGAGATCTGTTGGAGTCAGCCTCCCCACCATCACAGACATCTACACCTGCAGAACTACTGGACTGAGGAACAGCTTCTACCCTGAAGCTGGTAAGGCTCATAAATCCCTAACCAGGAAAATCATTGTAAAAAAAAAAAATCACTGTAACGACACTTTAATTTGTGATATGTGACTTATCTGTGCTGCTGATTATCCACGCTGCTGATCTCTTGTCTTTAAGCCGCTGTATTCATTCCCATCTGCTCACAACAGACTCATGTTCAGGCTGCTGTTTAATACACCGTATTAGATTACATTATTTATTTATTTATTTAGCGTACTGTATACTTTAGATCCTTGTATAGTTTCTTTTTTTTATACTTTATATTTTTGCTATTTTTGGATGTAACTGTGCACACAATTTAGCTCCACCTCATGTACCACATGATGCGAATGACAATAAAGAACCTTGAATCTTGATGTATATATATTTACATTACAGCTGTGTAAGAGTTTCTACTGTTTAAATTCCTGCTCGTACCGTGACGTATTTTGCACATCGTTGGATTTATTTAAAATCCTCAGCACAAAAGAGCAGATCACGTTAACTCGAGCAGCTCGCTCCTAAAGCGGGCCGGGTCAAAACCACACGGGACACAGCAGTTTCTACTCGACGCCTCTTTCTCTGGACTCGTTGAGGGGCAGACTCTGCTGGAGCTGATGAACGTGGCCATGTTCCAGTTTGCTTCGAGTCTACAGGAAGGAGCTCGCAGAGATCAGAGGACAGGTCCAGTTTAAAGAAGAGGAGCTGCTCGGAGATGAAGGAACGTACGTTTACGAAACTCGTGGAGAGTTCTCGTTCACCGATTTATGAGAACACGTCAGTCTGAGCTGTGAGCGTCTGTCACTTCACTCACACGGTTTTAAAACTTCAACCCAAACCTTCACTCACATGCATTATTCAAACACGTCAACGCTGTATTAAATACCTTCTTTCTGTTCCGTATTTCGCTCCAAACTTATCAGGATACAAATATCTTCCATCTGTAAGGAGTTTGACTCGGTGACGTGGATGAAGTTATGACATTTTCACCAGTTTCTTGTACAAATATCAAACAAATAGGAACAATTTCTGCGACATGGAGCTCAACCGGTGTCTAAAATATAAAAAACACAACTTTAACCATTTTTACACATTTTATATACCACAAGTGGTTTTTTTTTTTAAAGCTACTTTTATTATTTGACCCTCCTGTGAATAAAAAGAGTCCACATCTGATGAGCAGACGCACTCCTTCTTCTTGTTTCAGGAACATCTAGTAAACTTCACAGCCACCAGCTGCTTTAGCCTCTTTCACAATAAAAAAAAAAGCTTTTAGACTTTTGGAGAAACTAACATTTTATTTGTCGTCAGGCAGAAAAGGCAGAATGTTGACAAGTTTCTCTTTGAGCTGCTGCAAAGCTCTACTCAGAGCTCATCTAATCACTTTGTTAGTTAACTTTATCTTTTTATTTCCACGTTTTTGTGTAAACGGCTCAGGAGGATCAGCTGTTCGTCCGCATCATCCTTCATACGCTCAAAACTGAATAATCTGATGCCAATTAAACTTTTAACGCCACTAAATATTTATTTATATCTGTATCTGGTCTGCATAGCCCACCTCCTTCCTTTTGTTTTGATTCCATCTTAAAGAAAATAAATAAAAATAAAGTTAAAGCATGTATAAAACCCAATAAATACCTCCAGGTCTCCTTTGGTGATGGACTCCTCCTCCACTCTGAACTGGAGGTCCTCCACTTTCCTGTAAAAAAAAAAAAAAAGTATTTCATTTAACTGTGACTAAATTAATATTTCTGAATCCAGTAACGTCGATGTAAGCGTAGGGGTTATGAGCTGCTGTGTGAAGTTCAAGTCCAAGAATCTTTATTATCCCCGAGGAGCAATTTGTGTGTGCACACAACATCCGTACTAGACAAACATCAAGACAAATATAACAATAACAGAAATCATCACTGTTTGTTGAGAAGCCTGATCTCTACAGGGACGAGTTTTTCAGTCTGTTCGTTCCACATCTGGGCAGCAGATACCTGCGTCCAGATGGAAACAACCTGAACTCACCATGAAGTGGTGATCAGGATCTGCCAGAATCAGCCTGGCCTGTTAGAAATGTGTCGTTTCTCAGTTACCCAGTAAATCTGGCGAGGCTCAGATGTCCCAGCTTTCCACCACGCGCTCGTGTTTGATCCGTCTGCAGCATGCGATTCGTGCACATGCATTTGACGTGTCCGCAGAATATTCCTGCTTCTGCATTTTGAAAAGCATACATTTAAATCTTGTGGATCTCACTGTGCACATTCAAACCCTGTTGTACGCTTGTGTGACTATACTTGTGAAACTAATTTCTGTTTAAACACACCCACAAAGTTCTGACCAATAATACAGTTCTTGGCCCAGACCTCTGTGAGAACATAGTTCTGCCAGGTTGTGCACAGAACGGGCTCTCAAAAGAAACGCAAGAACAAAAAGTCTGAACTTTTCGTCACGAACCACATCAGCAGGAAAAAGGTTCAGCACTTCTGAACCGGCACCTTAACTTGGAAGCCTGCCATTGTGTATCTGTTCCTCTCAAACCCAGCCGGTCGAAGCAGATGGACGCTTGTCCCGAGCCTGGTTCTGCTAAAGGTTTCTTCCGCATGAGGGAGTTTTTTCTTTCCACTGTCGCCTTCATGCTCAAGATGAGAGTCTGCGATCAAGTTAAATTCAAAGCTGCTCCTCAGATAAATAACGTTAACTTGTAATTTTTATAAATGAATGTTTCTGTTCAGTGCCCTGAGACGACTTCTGTTGTGACTAGGCGCTATATAAATAAACTGAATTGAACTGAAATGAAAGATGGAGACTTCTCCCCAGCTTGGACTTAAAACCCAACATGGCTGCCGTGCGACGGCTGCAGTAACGAACAGTTTAAGAAATGTTTAGTGAACTCGACTGTTCAGTGAAATCTGCTGTAATCACATCGTAGCGCTGATATTAGCTGCTCAGTAACGAGTACATTTGATTAGTTCTCAGACCTAAAACTGGATCAAGCTGGACGTGATGTCATTCCTGGATCCAAATTCTAACTTGTAAGGCATAAAGAAAGCTAACCGTTATGCTAAGCTACGCTAATGCTTCTTCACTGAGAAAAGGAAATAACTCTGTTTTACCATAAACATCCTGAACTCTCCTGATAAAGTTTATTTTATCTGAATGGTTACGGATCAGAAAAGTCCTTTTGTTACACGAAGAGCGCACGGCGCTCGAGTGACTTCACCTCTTCTCCTCTTCGAGCTGATTGGCCAGTTCCAGTTTATCTTTCTGCGTGCTGGCCAGCAAGGCTTTGACCTGCTGCAGCGAGCTCTCGCTCTCAGCGACGTACTGCCAACAGAAAGAGAGCGCCGACAGTTCGGCTCGTTAAACCCAGACGCCGTGGAGGTTCGGCTGACGTTCTGGACACATCCGACCTTTCCGTACCTGCACGTGCTGCGCCTTGAGCGCGCTCAGCTCCTTCTCCACCTCGCAGATGTGGCTGGTTGCCTTGGCGACTTCGGCGCGCTCCAGGTCCCTCTCGGCCAGAAGCTGCTCGATGTGCTGCTGCTTCTCCTTCAGCGCCTCCTGGAGCGCGGTGGTGCCCGAGATCTTACGGGCGTAGCGGGATGACGTCTCCGTCAGCTTCAGAGCAGAGAGAATAATTAAAAACAGGCAGAGTTGGGACAGACGCAGAGCTGCATCAGCGCCTCTGATCAGCAATTCAGATGTTTTTTTAGCCCAAACACATAAAATATATTGTTTTAATGGCTTGTTGCATCTATGTGACTCACTGCAGACAGATTTTAGGACAACATTAATCTTTAGAGTACAGCTGTAAACAGAACTGACTGCTCCAAATTCAAATTTATCTAAGTGCAATACTTTGTTTGTCCACTAGGGAGCACTCTTGTAAAGGGATTCAGAGAAGACCCAACAGGATTTCTTCAGTTTGGAGCTTTCATTTCAGAAAAAAATACAAAAAAAAAACCATTTTAAAATTAAAAACACAAGTAAACCGAGACTAATCTTGCCTAAAAGAGGTTAATGAATATTTAAAAGTTGATGTTTTGGGACCTTTTTTCCTTGTTTTGATAAAATGAGAGAAAAAGAGGCTATTTTAAGAAAAAATAACTAAAAGTTAAGTCAAATAGTTGTTGAAACATTTCCAAATAAGTCCACAAATTAATGTTTTTGTTTGTCATGCATGTTGCTGCAAGGCCTAAAGGTAAATCTCAAGTACAAACTGTTTGTGCAGATCATAAAATCTCTTGTTCTCAGCACAAATGAAGGGTCTGGATGAAACATCCGTGTGCATCAGAATGATGCGAGCAGCGTCCAGATAATTCATTCTTTCAGTGCGTGAGGCGACGCTGCCAACAATTAGCGAAAGCAGAAGGGAGTGTGCTCCGTCTGAGCGCTGGCTTGTAACCAGAAACTAAAATCAATGTGAGATACCCCGACGTGCCATCCACTGCAGGTTCTGTTAGACAGAGTGGACTTGTCGTTGGGAGATTTGTTGTGCAGGAGTGAAGTGAGGGAGTCGGAACGCTGCACAGCAACATCTTTGCTGCAATTATGCACCAAATGCTGATTTGACTGCAAACTACTATTTTGTACTAAACTAATGAAAATATATTTTTGCTTTTTCTTTCCCTAAACTTTGTGTTTTAAGTACATTTGTGAAGTAATCTTGTAAAGATGTCGACTTAATTTAAAGATCATCTCATTGTTATTGCAAACAACTAGGTTAGGGGTCTGCAACCTGCGGCTCTGGGGCCACATGTGGCTCTTTAGTCCCTTCATCTGCAGATCTATGAAACTTTCACCTAAACTTACAGGAAATGTATTGTTCTGGTTTTTATACCCACAACAAAAAAGGCTAGTTTTGGCTGTTATTTTGTCACTTTTCTGCAAATGTTTTGTTTTATCACTTCAAAATGTGACACTTAATTCCTTCTCACATAAAAGGACACATGGGCTGCAGAGTTCAGGGTTTTCATTTAAAATAATAAACTAGAAG